GTATTCAAACTATTGCAATTTTTTCTCATCAATTCATCCAAAATAACATTTGAGTCTTGAGCCTTACTCAAATATTACCATTAGGAATATAAAGATAGCATTAAGGCTATTGTTATTTTGGATGTCATGAAGTGTAAATCACATTTGACATAATTGTATCTAGCAAGAGAGATGAATAAATGTCGCATATGAAATGCCTAAACATACCCCTATCAATCCTCTATAAGGCTCAGAAATCCCTGCTCTAAGGAGATATAAACTCAACTTTTTGCTTCCTTAGATTAGAAAGAATCTTCTTGATCACCACTGGATGTGGCCATTCTATAGCAAAAAGATGGAATAACATAATATCCATCTTTTGTTGGCAAATGAAATATGTATAATGCTAAAGTATCTTGAAAATTCAAAATATATTTACACATGCTCAGGTAGCAAAGGAGAAGACATTCAGGATAAATTGCCAAATTGGAATCTTTTGTACACTCCTCTTAACAGTTTGGTATTTTTCTTAAGTTCCGGTGACGCTTTCGGCAATCTTTTGTGAGCCAAATGTGCAATTAGACCCAAAACGCTGCCTTCAACAAAAACAAAAGCCGTGAAACATCATGTGATGCTATTAGTGCTATCTTATATTCATGTGGAAAAAATCATAAGGTTATTTGGCACATTGGTACAAGGATAATAACTATGTCCAAACTTATGCAAGAATGTTGAATCCACTACAAGTAAATTTTGGGGCAAAAAGGGGAGAGCATGACACCACCTCTAAATATAGTGAAGAGAAAGAGTTGGTGGCTAAAATTGCTAGGAAGAAAGAGGTTTCACAATTTATTTTTTCAACAGGGTGAAGTTGTCGTATAATGCACATTTGGCTCAAAAAATAAAAATAAAAATAAAACATCATTGGAGCTAAAAAAAATATCAAACTAGTAAGAGGGGTTTATAAAAGATACCAATCTAGTAATTTAGCCCATCCATATATATCAAACAAAGAACAGAGAAAAAGAAATAACATTTCTTATTTCTAAATTACTAGACTGGTATTTTATTTCGATCCCTTTTACCAATAGGGTATTTTAAAACGTTCCGGCTACATTAAGGTATTTTATTTCAACACCTTACCAATAAGACATTTTTTCTTGTCGGCGGCAAGAATTCCGACATGAAATGTTATTTTTGGTTAGGAAAATTTCTTCTATCATATGACCTCATAAAATTATTGAATCTACACCTAACTTATCATAATGTGGCAAACGATAGGGGATTTATGTGAAATTGACCCTTTAAAAAGCTACTTCTTTCCTATCTACACCCTCGCTAGGGTTTTGGGAAGTTTGGGAGTTTGAGGTGGAGTCCTTGAACTGTAAATTCAGAAGGAAAAAGAGATAGGGAAGTTAGGGAGGAAAGGGTGAGAATGGCAAGAGCAATTGATGGTAAGGGGAAAGGAGAGATGGGGAAGTTAGGGAGGAATGGATGAGAAAAGCAAGAGCAATTGATGGTAAATGGAAAGGAAGGAGGAGATGAGGAATGAACGACAGAGTGTGGATAGGGAAAAAGAAGATTTTTAAAAGGTCAATCTCGCATAAGACCCCCTATATTTCACAAAATAAGTGTAGACTCACTAACTTTGAGATGTCGAGTTCCCAATAAAAAATTATAATGCTTACTAGAATTCTCGCTGCCGAGGAGAAAAAAGGTCTTATTGGTGGAGAGAATAGAAATAAAATACCTTAATGTAGCCAGAGCGTTTCAAAATACTCTATTGTTAAAAGAGGTCGAATTAAAATATCAATCTATTTATTTGTCTCATTTCTTATCATTGTGTTTGNACTTAACTCCGTTTGTGGTTTTTTTTAAGGAAGATAATGGAGGGCAGGGAAGTGAAATTTTCATAGAAAAGTTGTGGTTCTTTTCCCATCCAATTTGGGGTGCAGACAAGGGTAGTGAAAGTAAACTTAAAAGATCTACTAATTGACTCTCTATCACTATGGATCAACGGCTCAGATTTGATTATGAAACCATTTCCCCCCTTCCCTTACCTTAGTTAGAACTTCCAAACATCATGAACTAAGTTCCCCTCTATTCCCCCTTACTAAGCTCCCAAGATATTATATTTGCCCTCCCCTTCCCTATCTTTCCTATCGTTCCCCCAGTCAAACTCCCAAACACAGTGTATAAGTAACAGATCTGCAGTGGTTAGGAATTTTATGCAAGCTGAGCAAATAGATACTTTTGGTAAATTATTATATGCATAATAAGACTTTCGATATATTCAAGATGAATTCCCAAAGACTATGTGAGGTCGATATTAAGATAACGTCATTAAATCATAAAAATTCCTCTGAAGATAATCAAATCAGCACAAAATAATATTTTAAAATTGCAAATTTGGACTGTGTTCGTTACATACTCACTTGAAAAGCCAGGGTCCCTTCGCCTTGGTTCTGGAGCTCCTTCAGCACCGCCACCATGTCCCTTTTTCACCAGCCGCTGAACCTTGGACTCGATCACGCGAAACACTGAATCTCCGCCGTTGGTGTTGGCCCTCTTCAGGCATTGGACGGCCTGGATTGCTTCGATGCTTGACCGGTACCGTCCCCTTTGGGTTGGCTTTTCGGTTCTTGCGCTCGGTCTCTTTGAGATTATTTGGTTTGGGCTTTTGCGGGTCGGGACATGACAATCCAACACCCGGATGCGGGTCTAGCGCTGGGAGGGCCGGAGGGGGCTCCGGTAGGCCGGGAGCAGAGAGGCCGGGAGGCCGGCAGGACGCGACGATGGTGAGCCATGTACTGCTTCGCCTTGCTTCCTCTCAGCTTTCTTATTTGGTCGCTATTTAAAAGATTGCGACAAATTTCAAAAAACCGAACGACTTTTGGGATTTAATTTGCCAAAAACGACCCATTTCAATCTTATTTATAAAAACCGACCCAGTTGCGTTGAAACTGGCGTCAGGTTTTTAAAAAAAAAATTCCCAGAACTTCACGGGAGTTTCAACTCCCCGCTGAAGTTTTGTTATGAGAAAAACTGCCACGGGCAGTTCAACTCCGTGAAGTCCCAAAAAAAATTACAAAAACCGACCTGTTTTTCAGCCCCTGCGCTGAAAACAGTGTCGGTTTTTGTAAATTATTTCAAACACCGTCGTTTTTTGCCGAATTAAAAACCCAAAGCGGTCGTTTGAAAATCTTCGTTCCTATTTAGATTTAGTATTAGTCCCTAAAATCTCAGCAATACATTTCCGTCCCTCAACTCTATGAAATTGCTCATTAGTCCCTTAAAATCTCATCTATGTGAAGATATTAGTCAGCTGAAATCTATCTCCCCTTCCAAACCTACTTTTCATTTTGAGAGTTTAGGGCAGGGGGGCGCGGCACAATTGCTGTGCTGCAAACAGTGCTGAGCGATTATAGTTTTATATTTTAACATCCTCATTCACACCTATTCGAATTTTTTTCGTGTGGGATCGTACAATCTATATAAGCATCTCACTACCATCTGGGCCAAACTGAAACTTGACCCTGCTGCCCTATGGTCTTGCTATGGCGACCCCCAACACCAACTCTTTTCAAATTATAGGAGTTTCTAATTTTCATTCATTCTCAATTGATATATACTCATCCAAAATGAGATTGATAATTGGGAGAGAATAATAGTGTATATTAATCTTAGAATATGATACAAACATATAGACAATATAGGGGCCTGAGCGGGCCAATATTGGGCATGTACATACAAAGATATATATATCCACTATCTTAACACTCCAAAAACTTAAGGTGGGTCAAACACCGAAAGTTTGGACAAGAAATAAAGCACCCGAGTAGTAGTTTGTGCCTTAGTAAAGACGTCTCCGAGTTTATCTTTGGATGGTATCTGAGGAAGAGATACTATGAGCACTATAATCTTGTCGAACAATATGAGTCTAATTCAATATGTTTAGTGCACTTATGAAACACTGGATTACAAGCAATCTGAATAGCACTCTTGTTGTCACAAAATAGAGGAACAAGGGAAGCAACAGAGACGCTGAGATCCTAAAGAAGATGGCGTAGCCAATGAATCTCAAGAGTAGTGTCAGTCATAGCATGATAATTTGGCCCAGTGCTAGATCGTGAAACCATGTTTTAGCATTTGTTCCATCAAGATATAAGAGAAGAACCAAGTAAATGTAATACCCAATGGTGGATCATCTAGTATCATGATCATAAGTGCGGCCAACATCAGTGTACGCCCATAATGTGAGAGGTGAATCAGATGAAAATAATAAGTGGTGAGTGATAGCACCATGAAGGTAGAGAAGAAGTCTGATCAAGGCTGCATAGGTCATCGGTGTAGCGATATACTGACTAAGAGTGTGAACAACATAAGATATATATACGGACAAGTAGCAGACAAATAAATCAAGACACCCATAAGTTTCAAATATTGAGTGGGGTTCGATAGAGGATCATCATCTAACTAATGAAGCTTTAAATAAAGCTCCATGGTGGTAGTAACAGGAGGAGATATCACAAGTGAGGCATTTGTGCGAGTGGCTCACTTAATGATATTTTAAATATACTTCTGCCGTGACAGAAGATGGCCATAGGGAGAGCATGTGTTCTAAATCTTTAGAAAGTAGCGTAAATGCCTGAGATCCTTCATCTCAAACTGACTCTGAAAATGTTACTTAAGATTCTAAATAATAGATATATCGTCCTAATAATTATCATATCATCAACATATAAGAGGAGAATGGTCTGACCTTGGGAAGAAGTACGGTAAAACATTACATAAGTTGCTGAGCTTTTCATAAATTCAATAGAGAGAATTTATTTTTGGAAACACTCAAACCAATCTCAAGGGGCTTGTTTGAGGCTATAGAGAGCACATTGAAGGTAGCATACATGAGAGGGAGGAGCATCAACTCTGGGTGGTGGTTGCATGTAAATGGTCTTTGTAAGTTTAACATTGAGGAAGATATTCTTCACATCCATCTAATGTAAATCACAGTGACAACTAGCTACAATAGCATTAAGTGTTCGAATAGATGTGACTTTGGCTACTAGAGCAAAAGTCTCATCATAATCAATAACATACTCCTGTGAAATTCCACGGGCAACAACAAGGCACCTTTGTGATGCTTAACAAAACCATTTGATTTTGTTTTGACTTTGAATATCCAATTGCAACTAATCATTTTGGTGTCATATGGCAGACATCCCATGTATTAGTACGCTGAAGGGCATGTAGTTCTTCCTATATAGCTTGCTGTTATTCGGGATACTTCACTGTCTTAGAATAAGATCATGATTCTTATAAAGAATGTATAGCAGCATGAAAGGATACAAAATGACTAGAATAAAAATTGGTTAAACAAGAGCATCTCGGAGGTGGATAACAATTTTGAGTAGGATTGCGTAGTGGTGGGGATGGTGACGGTGGTGGTAGTGGGTTGAATGGGGGAAGGGGGGTGGTGATGGTGATGTAGGGGACCAGGGTGGTGTTGGTAGTGTAATAATCGACAAACCGAGAGCCAGAATAGTCATGTCAGCAGTATCAGTTGAATTCACTTCATGAGGACGTGAAGTTGACTTTGAAGATGAGGATAGAAAAAGAGTGCATGCTGGTGTCGACAATGTCAGATAGAGAAAGGACAAATCCAACTCATTATTTGATGACTAGTAGTACAAGTTTTCAATGAAGGTGACATGATGGGAGACTTGAATTCTTCTACTATTGGGATCATAACATCTATACCCTTTGTGACATGGACTACATCCTAACATGGCGCATTGATTTGAGAGCGAGGTGACAACTTATCCCCTTCATTTTATGAGAGAAGGACAAAACAGACACAACTAAAACTTGAATCATGGAATAATTAAACTGAGTTTTGTGTAGTCGAGAGTATGGATATATATCTATAAATAAGAATGACGGGATAATATTAATTGCCAAGACAACGGTTAGAAGGGCTTTAGACAAAGAAGATCGAGAAACATGTGCAGTGAGTATGAGAGCACGTGTTGTTTCAAGAATATGATGGTGTTTATGCTCAGCAACATCATTTTGTTCTGATGTGTGAGTACAAGTCCATTGAGCAATAGTCCTATGTGACTTGAAGAGGTTTTTCATAGATGAGGAAACATACTCACCTACATTATCAGATTGAAAAACTTTAATTCTCTTGTTAAACTGAGTATAAATCATATTGTTTTTGTGTGTGTGTGTGTGTGTGTGTGTGTGTGTGTGTGTGTGTGTAGACCCAAGTGTATCTAGCAACATTACCAATAAATCTTACAAAATGTTTATAACCAAATATGGATGCATGTGGCGCAGGACCCCAAATATCAGAATGTACATAATCAAAGGGTTCAACAGAAATATTGTTCTGAGTCACAAAAGTTAAAGCAGTCTGTTTTACAATATGACAACCAATACAGTTATTTTGTGCATGAAAAGAAAATGATCCTAAGACTCTTGACTCAACTAAATTTTTCAGATGAGGTACTCAAAGAAGTCCTAACCGACGATGTCGAAGAGCAGAGGTAGAGTCATTGGATCTAATAATTGAGAGAGGAGTGTGAAGCTGGTACAACTAATATAATCCATCCACTCTATGACCTATCCCAATCCGCTAGCCATTGCAGGGATCTTGCACAACATAAGATTTTGAATCATATGAGACAATACATCTTATAGATTTGAGATTCATAGCTAGGTTAGAAACACATAGAACAGATGGTAAAATACGAGAAGAATATACAATTGTAATAATTCTAAGTTTTAAGATAAATATATATAAGGAAAAGTATATGGGATTTTATGTAAAATTAGTTAGAGGGTTCTAATAGAAAAAAGGGACCTCTATAAATACCCAAACACTACTTCTTTTCCCCTTCTTCCTCCCATATCTGTTTCCACCGCTCTCAAAAAAGAATCAGAGAGGGAGGGGGGGATCATCCTATACGGATCAACATAATTTTTTTGGGATCAAAATATTAATCAAGGTATTATCCTTTCCTTTTCTTTAATGACCAGTTCATATTATGAAGGACTTTGACTTTATTCATGGAGCCACCGGTCATACTCCTAGTTAACTACAATAGTACCTAGATCAAGATCACTTTATCTGATCTAGACCTATAGCAGGTCCAGGTCTTTGCTTTTTATATAAAAAAAACGATGAGAATGCACAACCAGTTTCTCAATAAACTATGTAGGCTTGATTGAATGACAATTATGATCCCGTATGTATGTTAGTCAGTTAGTAGGTTATGAGGGTATAATATGCAGTAGTATTAATGATTGTTTTTTTATCTTTAGGGATTCTTAGCTATTTAACAGAAGCGTCACGAGTGTTGAACTTGGATTGTTGGTTGGTTTAAGGTAAGTGGTGAATTTGTACATTATTCGCTGCGTATTTTTCATATAAAATTATATTAACTATGTGTAAGTTTGTTCTAATGGAATATATCCTTTTGTATGGTTGTTCGCATACTAATTGTTGATTGGATTAATACACGTGGTTATTTGGTATTAGCCTATACTTTTTTTGTCAATTGTTATATCTTTTCATATAGTAGTAGGTTGAGATGCATATGTGGTTGATTGATTTCACTATCGGTTGGCCTTTGGCATTTTTTTATAACGTATTTAGTTTTACAGACTTCGTTTAAAATTTTCTTAAAGCATATGCATCTCAGGTCAATATACCGGTATATGTCGGATATAAGTAAGTTATTAAAACAGTGCTCAATGTGCCTCTATGAGGTTTCTATTTTAATGCTAAGAGCCCAAGTTTGGGTCTCACCGCCCCTACCACGGGCTTTATAATAGTGGTGTTTGCCATGTCAAACAGAGTATCGAAGTGTTGACCGCAGCGAGACGTGATCTGCTTACTTCCATTGTATGTATATATTTTAAAAGTGCTGCATTATAGATTTTACTATTTTAGTATTTCACTTATCAAGTCAATTTATTTTAGTTTTGCAAAACCAGTGTCTAATATATGAATTTATCCACTTATTGAGTTGTGAACTCATTATGTTGTTTTTATTCTTTTCAGAGACTCGGGATTAGGTGGAATTGAGGATTTGCCAAATTCTTAGAACGGAGCAAGGAATATAATTTGAGATTGTTATTGTCTTCTAGACGAAGGTTAAATAAAGTCTTTAATGTTTAGTTGATGAATTAAGAGTTTTGTAATAATGAGATTCTTTCTTTAGGTTGAGATTTATTTGGAGTTGAGGAATATTTATTTTTATCAAGTTAATTGGATTAGTGTTGACTTTTGGAATTATAGAGAATATTTGTTGTTGGTTTTAGTTAAATGAAGAGATTTGTTTTAGTGATCTTTTGATGAATGTATATTTTGGAGGACTTTTCACAGGTTTAGTTCGGCTCTAATATTCCTTTTAGGTTCGGAAATTAGGGTCGTGACAGAATGATATCAGAGCCTAGGCTGTAGGTCCTAATTAGAGTTAGAGGAAATAATAATGATGATGGAATATAATGATGGAATATGATAATTTATTTTTGAAGTGTGGTCGAGGACAATATGAACATTATCAGATCAAATTTTGGGTATAGGAGTATATAAGCTTAGAACCATGGATCACACAATCTCTTTAGTTTTGTTGTCTTAAAGGTAAAAGACTTAGTCTGGATAGTTTAAGTTATCACCAGTGTATGTATTTCATGAAAAATATTATTTGATTACTTATGTTTGTGATGAATATATTATGAATTGATTTAATAAAGATTAATACGATGAATATTTTGTACTAAACATATTTATTTTTGGTAATATTAGATTGAGATAGCTCGTGGCAAGAGAGGTTCTAGTGTTGCAGCAAGGCGCTCTTCTCCTAGACTTGATGCTAACGCAGAGGTTACGCTACCTTCGAATATACCCTAATCGAGTAGGCGTCCCCAGACTAGGGTTGGTGGAAATGATGATGCATATCGACAAAACATTAAGACCCCTAATGTTACAAATGAGGCTCCTGATGGGAATGTCAGGGGAAGATCAGGACCTAAAACTCGTGGGTGTATGGTTACCCGTATTGCTACGACTGCGAGAGGGACTATCGGAGCTCAGTGGGGTGTTGAAGGACTCGCCAGTTTTATTGAAATGCAGAGTGGTTTCATGGAGACGCAAATGGAGATCCTTGAAAAGCAGTCAGAGGCAACTGAGAAGCTGAGCGAAGCACTAAATACACAGAAGAAGATTAAACCTATTGGTAGTAACTTTGAAAATTTTAAGAAGATGTCTCCACCATCTTTTCAAGGAGGTTCTGATCCAACAGTGGCACAGGAATGGCTGAAGAAAATGGAGAAGTATTTCAGAGCCTTAGGATGTTCATAGGAGCAAAAAGTTATTTATGCTATATTTATGCTAGAGGGAGATGCAGAGATCTGGTGGGAAATTAAGGAGGCCAGTTTATCACTTGAGGGGGAGGATATTCCTTGGAACATATTTGTTAAATTATTTAGGGAGAAATATTTTCTCTTGTATGTTTGATCTCGCAAGAAGAGGGAGCTTATGGAATTGTAGCAAGATGACATAACAGTGGAAGAATATGAAGCTAAGTTTAATGGGTTATCTCGATATGCACCTGAGCTAGTCGCAGAAGAATTTGATAAGATAGAGATGTTTGAGAATGGACTAAGGTCAAAAATTCATCAGAAGGTTACAGTAGTCATGTCAAAGACTTTTGAGGAGGCAGTGGAGCGAGCAAAAAGGGCTGAAAAAAGTAAGTAAGGGAGAAAAGATTGCAGATGAACCAAACAAAAGCTTGGACCAGAAGAAGCGGATCAGGGATGAGAATAATCAAAAAGATAAGTTAGCTTTTAAGCCTTTTAAGAAGCCAGCATTTCGAGGGTCAGGAGCTCCAGTACAGAGATCGGGCCAGTTTGTGCAGAGAACAGGTCCTCTTATTCAGAGGCATGATGGACAATGTTATAGATGTGGTAATAATCACAAATGCTGTTACTATCCTTTATTTTGAGGCTGCTTTGAGTATGGCAGACATGGGCATATTGCGAAGGACTGTCCAATAAAGAAGGGACCTAAGACTGATGATCAGAAAGCGAAGCCTACACCTGGTGATGGTCAAAAATCTAAGGCACAAGGGAGAGTATTTGCTTTGACGAAGCAGGATGCTCTCGCATCTAACTCTGTTGTTGTAGGTGCACTCGTTATTTCCTCTCAGTTCGCACATGTGTTGTTTGATTCTAGTTCTTCTCATTCATTTATATCTCATAGCTTTGCTAGTAAGTTGGATAGAACTCTAGAATTTTTAGAATCTGAGCTATCCGTTTCCACCCCATCCGGTGATTGTATGATCACTGATCACATCTTTAAGGGATGTGAGGTCATAGTGGGAGATCAAACTTTGCTTGCGAGTCTTGTGTTACTTGATATTCATGATTTTGATGTCATTCTTGGTATGGATTGGATTTCTACTTATCATTCATCTCTAGGTCGTTTTTAGAAGCGAGTTTCATTCAGAATTCCTGGGGAGTCCGAGTTTTGTTTCGAGGGATCGGGTGTTAGTGTACCTCCATGTGTTATTTCAGCTATGCGGTCTTGTAGACTTCTAAGAAAAGGTTGTCAAGGTTATCTTGCTAGTGTAGTTTGTACCGAGAAGAAGGAAGTTCTTTTGGATGAAATCCCAATTGTTCGAGAATACCCTGAGGTTTTTCCGGAAGACTTGTCAGGACTACCACCTGATAGGGAGTGTAGACGGTAAAAAAATACCTCTGATGAGCCTACAGGAAATTCGCCCACAAGAAGTCGCCTGCCTAAACCGCATGGCCGTCAAATGTGCTCGGTTCCAGGTTCGCCTGAATAATCGACTCGCCTGCACGAGTTGAGATCAGTTGGAATAGCGGAAGTTCGCCTTTCACGCGACTCACCTGCCCGAGTCCAAAGACGAATCCGCCTGCAAACCTCAAGGCCACTAGTACAGCTGGGTATCCGCTACCCCACGTGCTGGGATGGGCCATCCCATCTCTCTCGACCCGAAGGGAGAGAACACGGTACCCCCAGACCGTCAAACGGCCGCTCACAGTACGAAGGCCTAGACAGGTGTCGAGTCAAACTGAGCATTCATAAATGCGATTCACCTCAGCTGTCTGAGTCAAGAGCTGGATCCGCCGGCACTCGGCAGGTTGGCTAGACCCACTCGAGTACTGTGCACCTACTTCGCCGCCTCTCCTGACCGAAAAGAAGAAAGCATCGTGCTCAAAGCACGCCGGGCGGTCACGCACAGTATGAGCGATCGGACAGACACCTCATCGATCTGCGAACTCATAAATGCGGTTCATTAATGCTGGTCAAGTCCACTCGGATAGCAGACGGCCGTTGCCTCATATACAAGGATGGGCCTTCCCATTCTAGGTGATAGGACATAAAGCATAATCCCTCGAATGACCATTCATAGTATCGAGGAGCAGCTAGACGTCTCTGAAGAAGATGTGGTCACATCCCATAATTCAAGGATGAGTCAAGCTGTCCTTCTTTCATTTAAAACCCCCTTCCAGCACATTGGAGGAGAGGTCAAAAAACTTAGAGAAAAGAGTTGAGACCAAGCTCTCTGCATAACCTTTGCATTGCAGCATCACTGTTTAGTTCCGAGCTCCGATCGCCGGCGAACTAAGCAGACCCGAACTCCCTCGAGTTGAGCTTCTACTGCGAACTGAAGTTCTCCAGCAACCTCGATCAAACGGTCCAAGGGAAGCAGACTCGACACGAGCATCGAGCGAAGCGTCCTATAGCCACCTAAAGTCCCCACACAAAACAAAGAGGGCATTCCCTCTGCTTCTGTCGTAACCATTTGATTATTAGTTTGTAATAAGCTTTCTTATTAATACAAACGAACACCCCTTATTTTCGGGAAATCAAATTTACACCATACAGAAGATGGCGACCACAGTGGGAGCAGCTGTTTCATCGAACGAAATGGTGGTGGCTCAATTTGATGAGGTTGCTGTCGGGACGACCGTGGAGTCCCTAGAAATTGAGTTCGACCAGGCCAAGTACGAAGAGTACTTGTCCTCCTCATCCTCTGGCGGCGATGCGTCCCACAGACGCCACAAAGTCGTGCGCCGAGGCCGACCTCAGACGGTCAAAGCCTCTGCACCTACGGGTTCCCCCCGAGCCTCATTGGAGGAACCCACTCCCCCGCAATCGATCAAGGCCAAACCAGAGATCGAACGCAAGAGGCAAGGGTCTGCCAAATGGATCGCCAAGCGGCCCACGCAGACACCTGCCTCGGAGGAAACGCCGGTTCACTCCGGCACAAACCGTACTACTACAGCCCGCAGTGACGCTCTCCTTGCTGGGAGAGCTAGCCAGCAACAGCGGCAAACGCTCGTCAGACAGGAGGTCCAAACCTCCGTTTCTCACAACGACCTGAACCATCATACAGGCCCGAGAAACGCTAGACGAGAAGGCAAACTGCCCGACATCGGAAGGCCCTCCAAATCAGGAGCGCCGACCGAAGACGACAGAGCCATCCGCTCAGGAGGACTTCGCTTCTCAGGTCATATCCCTGATGCGAATAAACCACACCGAGCGAACGAGCCTCCCCGAGTAGGCGAATCCTCGAAGGCTGGCGATCCTCGCCATGACCACTTGGCGGATAAGCGTAAAGGTAGAGAGGTAGGCGATTCTTCGCGAACCCACTCTTCCAAATGAAAGGTTGAAACCCGCCAACGTACTGGAGTTCGCTCAAACACGAAGACTCGCCAGTCAAGGCGAGATCTCCCAACTCCAGCACCAAAGCATTCCACCCAACGCGCACCAGAGAGCGTGTCAAAAAATCTCCCGTACACTCACACGAGTGACTCCTCTGAAGCTGGGGGTTGTCACCAACCGCCCACGGAGGACCTCAGGGAATACTTAACTCGCAAGCGCACTATACATGAGGCGAATCCTCAGTGCCACTGCGAGAGACTCATCCACACGGTCCTCGCCGACTGCCAATGCGTCGGAACGGCGAAACCTTCGGTATTCGAGAGACTGCCGCAACAGTCTTCTCGGCCAAAGCCCTCCCGTCAAAGGCGTCATCACCAAAAAAGACGTGCTGCTAACGACCTAGACCTCTCATCCGCCACGGTTAACATGACGGATAAGGAGAATGCGGTACTTTCTGACTCGCCAGACTCGGACTCCGTCCTAAGACCCAACACTCGGTTCGCTCGACGCCGTCAGGATGGCAAATTCCAGCGAACACGAAGTCGCAGGGGGGTAAGTATTGGGTTTGAATATTCCACCTTGATACCCCCCTCCTACGGTGAAGACGAGGTTCATTCGGCGGCGGCCACATCCCAGACCTCGCGTTCAAGTCAGGACGCGCAGGCGAGAGTGCACATGACCGAACTCAACACCGAGCAGTCGATGGCTCAAAAGCTGGAGGAACAGCAGGCAACCATCGACTCTCTAAGAGAGATGATGGAGCAACTGCTGAACAAGAAGAAGAAGAAGAGGACCCAACGCCCCTTGCCCCGGCAAACTAGGGACAAGGAGTGGGTACCTCCTCACCGTCCAGCGGCTGAGACGGAGGATGATTGGCATTCCGATTACTCCTCCAAAACGTCGATAGGAACGTCGCACACTGGGGATAGCACCCGTGACAAAAGATTCGATGAGTTCTAGGACCAGCTCAACGCGCTGAAACTCCAGCAAAACATGAACAAGCTGGGGGTGGTACGTCCCTATCCCATCGAATGAGACACGGTCCCATACCCAGCAAAGTTCAAGCCAATCAGCTTGGTACAGTTTGATGGCAAGGGATCACCTTCTCAGCACATCTACTATTTTATGGCGCAGACCGGATTCCTTACGGGGAATGACGCCATCCTCACTCGACTATTCATAGGTACCCTCAAGGGGGTGGCCTTTGAATGGTTCCGCAAACTGGAGCCCGGTTCTATCGCTTCTTCGATGACGACACGGAAGTGTCAATGGCCACTCTCCTCGCTGAGAAGCAGCGAAAATCGGAGTCGGTCAAGGACTTCGTGAAGAGATTTTGGAATCGATCAGTCCACTGTCGGGACCAAGTTTCCGAGGCGACGCTGATTGAGATGTGCCGCAACAACCTATCGATCCACATCTTGTCCAAGATAGGGGCAGTAGAGACTCGGACTTGGAAGGAACTTGTTCGCCAAGGCGAGCAAGTCGAAAATATGATCAAGAGGCTGGAGGCCGAAGAGCCGCAGTCCAAGAAGGGAGCAGCGGAGCAAGCTGCGCCGAAGAATCCTCCTCGGTCGAGGGGAAAAGAAATCATGGCTGTCGACACCGCCCCGGCGCCGAAAGCTGCTCAAAAGCCAAAACCCAGGCAATTTGAACCACGCCCCCAGCGGCAATATGATTTCAAAGAAGACCAGGTGGTGGCGACTTTCGACACTCTACTCAAGAGTGGGCGAATTAAGTTGCCAGAAGCCGCCAAGCCTGAGGAGGCGGACAAAACCGGTGACCCAAGTTACTGTGCATATCACAGGTTCCTTGGCCATCACACAACCAAATGTTACGTCCTCAAGGACAAGCTCCAAGCCGTCTACGACGCGGGGGTTTTGAAGAAAGAGAAAGTCCAGAAGCAAGTGACTATGAACATGGTCACTTTAAGCTTCGGGACAGGTCTCCCAGAGGTTCAAGCCCCTGCAGGGGTAATCCCTATCCCCAAGGCAGTCTTGAAGATCACTAACGATGATCCTCACCACCAGCGGGAAAAGGGTTTGGTCCCACAAACTCTGCCAGATGGGCAGGTGATGTGGGTCCATCCAGACCTCCTCCATGACGAGCAGTGGACTGCACAGCCTTCCAAGGAGGCTAAGAGGAAGCACTGCAATGTTGTCTCCGCCATCCTAGGTAGAGATGACATGGCGATGACTGCCCTAACCGACTCTGAAGAAGACACCAACGTCTTCGTCACAAGGACAGGGAAAGAATTCGCGAAAGAGTATCCCGCGAGGGCGGAGAACCTGGCAGGACCTCCCGCGAGGCCGGTCATAGCAATCCCTCCCAATCAGGACGGACCAAGCACAAGCCGCCAGCCTTTCCGGTTCAACGTGCTCGCGCAACTGAAAAGCATTCCCGCGCGAATTACCATGTACGACCTCCTCCGGTTGTCCAGGTCTACCCGAGAGGCCCTCCAAGAGGCGCTGGCCGACTCAGAGGCGTTCTCTACTCATTTCTCGAAAGAAACGGAGGCAGAACAGGGATGTACAACTTGCCTGAGCATCGTGCCCCTGAAGTTGATCAAGCACTTGGGGATACCGCCAAAGAGCCTCTCCTCAACTGCGACTACCATCTTCGGCTTTAACGCCACGGGGACTCGGCCGCTCGGCAAAATCCCCCTGAAATGTCGGATAGGCGATATGAAGACGGAGGTGACGTGCTACGTCATCGACGCTGAACCCTCGTACAACATACTTCTGGGGCGCCCATGGATCCATGGCAACAGAATAGTCCCGTCCACATTACACCAGT